ATCGCTCCGAGGTCACTTGCTGAGGCTACACAAACCTCGAACGGATGGAGTCCTGGCGGACTTTCGTTTATCACGCCGTGGTGAATTCCTGGAATGCACTGCCCGAGAACGTGGTATTGGCACCAACAGTGAGAGTTCGAACACCGACTCGACGCTCTTGGCCTTCAATTCTTAACATTCCCCTCCATGTCCTAGCTTATTCGCCTTACTGAGTTATTAACTCTATTACGTATTTTTCCTGATGCTCTTATTACTTTCGTACTTCTCTTTCTTACTTCACGTGACCGGCGCGGCGGGGACTGCCAGTGCAGGTCGCGCGGGTATTAATTGGTTGACCGTGGTGTGATTCGCGCGCACTGATCTGACTCTTCTGGATTCCAGTTATCGCGGACGAATAATACCCTGGATCAACGACGCGTCACGGAAGGAACATTGAAGGGGATTTATCCCACTGTTCCGGTCCCACTTGAACTTGAATGTGGTTTATCCGCCGCCCTGCGTAGCCTAAGGAACAAGGTGCACGAGTTGGGTCTACTTGTAGACAAATCTCGTCCCGACATACTTGCTTTCACTGAAACGTGGTTGTCTCCGGATATCACGGACGGTGAGGTATATTTACCTGGCTACGCGTTGCTTAGAACTGATCGCTCCGTTGGTCGACAAGGCAGAGGCGTTGTACTGTATGTGTTGAGGACCTGCACATTCCAGTCGTCGGATCAGATTGTTGAAGCTCTATCGGCTGTTTTGTGCAGTTCCTCTACCCAGTTTACAGTTATAGTGATATACAGAAGTCCTGGAAGTTCTTCCAGGGAGATACTTGACTTTATTCGCACTCAGTCTGCGAATAAGTGTTTAGTTCTAGGGGATTTCAACCTCCCGGAAGTCTGTTGGGCCGATCTTTCTTGCAATTCGGCATTAGGAACATTCGGCGCAGACTTCCTTGAACTGACTCTCCAAGTGCCTTTGCACCAGTTCGTTGACTTTCCCACTAGGTATATGGACAACAAAATACCATCTACTTTGGATTTGGTTTTCGCTAGGTCCCTGGACTTCGTGACTGACGTTTCACACGGTGCATCTCTAGGGTCTAGCGATCACGCATGCATATCCTTTCGATGTGCTCTTTTATGGCACCAAGAGACCGCTGTTGAATTACTTCCGAATATTTGGCGGGCGGACTTTAGTGCAATGCGAACTAAGGCTTCACTTCTGAACTGTGAGATCTCGATGGCTGACTCTGTCCAGTTAGCCTGGGATAAATTTAAGGCATACCTAACGGTTTCCACTCCCTATATTCCACTCATTAGGAAAAGAGGGTTAAGGGCACAGCCTCCATGGATAGATACCACAAGCAATACCTACTCAAGAAACAATCTAGATGCTGGCGAACCTACCAAGCAGCTCCACCAGCCAGCATCTATGATAGTTATCGAGAGATTAGAAATAAATGTAAGCAACATCTCAGAACTGCTCGTCTCCAATACCAGCAGGGTTTAGCGGACTCGGCCGAAGCTAATCCCAAGAGGTTTTTTGCTTATGTTAAAAGACGTAGCTTTGATGCGAGCAGACGGGACTCGTGCGCAAACTGACTATGACAAGGCTTGTATACTGAGTGATCAGTATACTGGGATCTTTGCTCGGGACACCTCTTTGCCACAGGTTGAATTGGTTTCAAGAGTTCCAGAGGATTCTTGCTTAGCTGAATTTAGCATAACGGAGACCCAGGTCTTCGAGCTACTGCAAGGCATTAATCCCTCTAAAGCTTCCGGTCCTGATTCAATTCATTCGGAGCTGTTGCATGAATTGGCCACTGAGCTGAGTGGTCCGCTCACATGCGTGTTTTCAATATCACTGGACAGCTGCAGCCAACCTTCAGAATGGAAGGAGGCAATCATCTGTCCGAATTTTAAGGGCGGTGACAGCGCTCTACCCGCGAACTACCGGCCCGTCAGTTTGACAAGCGTAGTAGTCAAGTTGTTTGAAAAGCTGATAAGGGATTCAGTGGAGAACAACCTGAATAGATTCAACCTTCTAAGTGTTGCGCAACATGGATTCCGCAAAGGATTTTCATGTCAGACTAATCTGCTTGTAACTCCTGAAAGCTGGGACGAAGCGGTAGAGTGGCCACGCTGTAGGCATGCTATTCGTAGATTTTTCGAAAGCTTTTGACACTGTTCCACATCTTCGGCTCTCACTAAAGTTGAGATTTTACGGGATATCTGGTCGCGCCCTTCAATGGGTGTCTGCCTTCCTTGAGGGGGAGGGAACAGTGCGTACGGGTGGGGCGTAGCCTTTCGCTCAGGCAAGCTGTCCTTAGTGGCGTACCGCAGGGCTCGGTACTGGGGCCATTGTTGTTCGCGATCTATGCAAATGACTTGCCGGGAGAGCTAGGGGTGTCATTACTAATGTTTGCTGACAATGTTAAGCTCTGGAATATCGTGGATTTCCCGGGGGGTCCTGAGTCAATTCAGCATGCCTTGGATAGGCTTTGGGAATGGTCTACCTTATGGTTGATGCCCATAAATAGGGTCAAGTGCTCTATTCTCCGAATCGGAGCTGCTAGTCCTCCCACCCGATATATTGGCGGTGGTGGTGAACTCCCTGTTGTCACTCAGCAGGTTGATTTAGGAGTCGTACACGCATCAGCACTTCATCCTGGAGACAACTGGAAGAAGGCTGCTAGTCGAGGGTTTCGTATGATGTGGTTTATCCGCCGCTCTTACGGAATCTTAACGGCCAATTTGTTTGTGAAGCTATTTTCGGCATTCGTCCGACCCCACCTGGAATATTGTATTCAGGCTTGTCCACCATGTCTTAACCGAGACAAAATGGACTTGGAGAGGGTGTTACGAGTGGGCACTCGGTTAGTGCAGGGTCTACGGGGACAGACGTATCCTGAACGCTTGCTCAGTTTGGGGATGTACTCAATGCACTACCGAAGGATAAAAAGGGACTTGATTCTCACTTATCGTATTTTGACGGGTAAGATTGGCCCGGACTTGTCAGGGCTATTTAGTCCCGCTAAGTTACCTAATCTCCGCGGTCACCTACTGAAACTGCATAAACCACGGTCTGATAGGACGGAAACTCGTCTATCGCGACGAGTTATAGATCGCTGGAATTCGCTTCCAGACCACGTGGTTAAAGAACCTACGGTTAAGGGTTTTGCACGCCAGCTCGATGCTCTTGGGTGGAAACAGTAAACCTTTCCTTTTTCCTAGCTGACTCACCTTCACTTTCAGTTCTATTTTTAATGGCTCAAACATCTTGGTGTTCCACTTGCTTAACTCTTTCCACTTTCTGTTTTGCCTTGAGTATACTATTTTCTTTCTTACATCACGTAAGCGGCCCAGCAAGGTCTGCTAGGGCAGGATACGTGGGCACTAATTGGTTGGAAAGGGTGTGATGCGGTCTTCGTTTTAGGTCCATCAGTATTTCAAAGTTCGCGAACTCCGGGTTCAACGACCCGCCGAAGAAAGAACACTCAAGGGATCATCCTACCGTTCCAGTCCCGATTGAGCTTGAAATTCTCATAAACCGGCCTGGCAGGATAAGCTGGACAGTAATTGGCCGGGGAGGGTGCGATGCGGTCCTGGTATCAGGCTTTCCAACATCTCAAACAGACCTATCAATTCCGGATCTAACGATACGCAAAAGGAACATTCACGGGATTATCCTGTCGTTGCGGTGCCAACTGAACTTGACCACGTCGCGGCCCAGGTGTTCCGTCTCAGAGGTAGCAAGGACTCGTAGCACCTTACGATATCCTGGCTCAAGGATCCCCTTAAGGAAATGAAATGAAATGTGTCAGCTTATACGCCGTAACGGCGCTTCGCTGCCGCGCGACAACCACCAGTCGCGCGCGGGCTGAGTATACCGCGAGGACGCCAACCCCTACGCGGATTCGAACCGGTGACCTTATGGTTGCAAAGCAAACGTGCAGACCACCGGCCGCTTAAGGAGCAAGCTAGGGATTTCCCTGTCGTTAGTCTAATCGGAAATGCGACGCACATATGGTTAGTCCAAGCATGCGCAACCCAGTTTAGCCATAGGAACCGACTTGCAATGCCGAGACTGCTTACTGACTCGCACGCCCTGCTAAGTAGAAGCGCGACGTGTGCATACCAGCACCGTTGGGCCATTTTCGACCTGAGGTACGGGAAGACGGTCGGCAACACGCAGACTGCAGTATAAGGGCTAGGTGGTCCACATAATAACTGCAGAGAAATACCTAGGAATTTGCAACGCGGTTGCGCAGTTACAAACCTTGTGGACTAACATGTGAGTGTTTAACGAGTTTGACGGGTGTACTCGGGAAACGAATGGACAAGCGTGCGATTGTGTGTTAAGACAAACCAACGACACGTCACCGATAGGAGACATGGACTTGCAACTCATGCATAAAGGCTATTACCGAGACTGCGAGCAAATTGAATTACATCCTGGGCCAATCTTGAAACCTGACAGCAGATAATATTGAGAACGGATATCGGCTTGGTGAGGCAAGCAATTAACTTACATGGCGAACCAGTAGGCTAGGACGAGATCTGTAAGCGGATGAATGAGCGATCGAGTAGTCAGTGGACAAATGGATACGCAATCAAAGGGATAAGACGGGCTGGAATGCGGCTGAACAAATCGTACGTAGGCGCACAACAATCAAGTTAGCACTAACGAAGCAGGCACAGCGCGGCAAGGCTGTGTCAATTGTACAGTTGAGCTAGTCTCAATTGTGTGCTATATTGTAAACCACATCCAACACTTACCGAAACGCAAGCCAGAAAATACAGGACGACCGCCATCTTGATGTAGGAAGCTGAGCAGTGATTCACGACGGGAGCGCTAATGACATCCGTACAGCGGGAGCAAGGAAAAAGTTGGTAGCCTGATTCCTGTTAGTGACGCCTGCGAAATGCCTGCCTGGTTGCGCACGAAGCGGAAAAACGGGATGGTGACCGATGAGTCCAAATAAACTTGCAGCAAAGTCAGGTGCGAACACTGAACGATATAAAAGTGTATTCCGTACAAAAGGATTACATCATCCATGGGACAAAATGCAAGACGGCCCAGTACAGGGGTCTAAAAACGGACATCTCGGAACAGTGAAAATACGCCCTCTGAAGTGGTATACACATGTGGTTAGGGAGAATACATCAAATAAGTAATCAATCAGAATCAGTCTTGGCCTTCTTCCCTGCGTTATACTTTGCCATAGCCTATATACAAATAAGGTGATTATCTCATGTACACTATCATACCTTCTCGTAGCGCTGCTTCTCAACTTGCGCCTGACTTTCGTACTTGGCCTTATTTTTGCAGTGTTCCCATCGCTTGCCTAGTTCTTTTGCAACCTCGCTGACTTTCCAGTCAGGGTGCTCCGACTTCACCTTGGGACGCTCATCGTTGCAGAAAAGGAAAAATGCGGATAAGCCCTTTTTGGGAGCGTTAGGATCGCGTTTCCTTTTCTTCGCTCGGCCCTCGTCAGCCGAAGGCTCGTAACCCTCCATTTCCTTTCTATGCCTTTCTTTGTCTTTTGCTGCGAGGTCTTCATACTTCTTCTTTTCTTTCGCACTAAGATTCTGTGGGGAATGTAAAATGCGGTGAGCCTTACCTTCCATTGCTCAGAACATTCTTTTGAGAAAGTCTTAAAATCGACGGTAACTCCAGGATTCTTCTTTTTCTGATCAGCATGCATTGATTGCAAGAACAGTGCGTAAGGGGACATAGCTCCCTTCGGCTTTTGCTTGTCCTTACCCATTTGTTATGTCACGTCTGTATGAGACTACACAATATGGCTATCGGAGGCGACAAAGATAATCCAAAGCCAGTCGACTTAAACAAAAAGCAGCAACAAACGTAATAATGTAAAGAAATTTATGGTAAACCAGGTTTTAAAATTCATTTGAATAAATAATACCACGGGTTTGAATTGCATACAGTATTATTTTCACGGTTACTTACACCTTTTAATCGAAGTTGTAGTAAATTTCTTGCTAGCCAAAACCTTTTTGGTTGGTAATTGGGATATTTTACATTTCAAAAGTCTTTTATATGCTTCAGGAAGACCATATAATGTTAGCGTACAGCATGGTTAAATTCCATATTAACTTAAATAGTGTTCTAAATTTAGTGAGTTTCGGGAGTGCATTTGAAATCACTGGACAGATTGAAGACATGAAGGAGATCCTGTGTCGGTTTTATCACTTGCGTCACAGGGCCGACCTAATACCTCTTCTTACGCTGTATCGTCCATTAGTAGACGGAAACAATGCGGTCTTTGCTTGCTCTCTCGGTAGTAATTCAAGTTCAAGTTCATTTGGGACCGGAACGATAGTATAATCCCGTGAATGTTCCCTCTTTTGCGTATCGTCGGATCGGTACTTGACAGGTCTACTTGAGATGTTGAAAAGCTTTAAACATGGACCGCATCTCACCCTGGCCAACCAATTTCTGCCCACGTTTTCTTACACAGCATTCTTTGCCAGGCCTGTTTATGTGAAGTAAAAGAGTGAAAAGTAAGCTAAGAAAACAAGAGAAGGAATGTCAGCTAAATAATGAAAATACCAAGGTGAGAAGAAAATTAAAAAAGAACGAAGGGAAAGTTTAAGATAAAAGTCTATAGTGCGTAGATCGTGCGCTATAAGTTCGGTACGCGACTAGACGGCCAACCAAAAGCAGTGGGTAGAAGACACAAAAGTAAACTGGGGAAGAAGTTTATTGGACAGGAGGGGCGTTGGCTTATGCTAACAATAGGGCACCGGGAGAGAGCTAGCTAGGGAGAATGTCGCTGGCCTCGAGAGCGTAGATGGAGCGTCGTTCGCAGTCGAGCCGCGCGCCAAAGGCGGAGATCGTCTTCGTGTTTCCAACAAACGGGAACAACGTTCCAACAGGCAAACCAAATAGTTCCCTGATACAAAAGAAAACTATAAGTTGAATATTTTAGAATAGTTTACGCAGTCATACGGGGGAATCTCCAGGTAGCTACACAGTCTCCTCCTAGAAGGGAAACCGTGGGTGACCCTTCGATCTACGTGAGGACTGTCCGTCGCGGGCCAGCCTCCTGCGAGACCAGGTAGCGAAACCTGATGCAGCTGCTGGGGGAGAACCAGGCGATCGGACCCTAGCAGGCTCCCACCGGTGTCCGAGAAGGCCGCAAGAAAACGCGTGGAAGTAAATATGATTATAGTCATATGTTACAACATTTAGAGTTGAGACAAAATCATGTACACTGTGCAACGATAATTATGCTGAAAGCGTCTTTTGAATGTTATATAGGATCAATAGCCGTGTGGGTAGATTACTAATGTCCAAGTAAAGACAAGCGCGTTGTATTAGTAAGTACTCCACGAAGTATCAGTTTAGTATGAGGCAAACATTGCGTGGGGTGAGAGGAAAGAAGGTTAAAAGACTGGTAATGATTAACTGGTGAATAAACAGCCTGAAGCCAGCCTAATACGATAGGGAGAGCAGAATAAGAAAGATAAAAATAAATACTTTGCCGGCAGGAGATCCAAATGTCAATTGATGGTAAAGCAGCTGAAAGATTGGATGCAGACATACTAAGAGAAGAAAGGTTATAGAGATAAGGAGTGGCACCTAACAAGCTCCGGATATGCGCAGAGATGCGGTGGAGACTACGACCCCTAGCTAGCTGCTAAACAGATGTTCCGAAGTTTAAGACGATCGGCGGATAATTGCGCTAGAAGCGCTAATCAGTGGCCAGATGTAGCCATTCCGTTAAAACATTTGGTCAATAGTGGATACCTACAGTGTCACAGAATACATCAAAAAGCTAGCGAAGGTAATTGATACAGACATTCCGAACGAATAGACGATAGAGAGACAATGAGTGTATTCGAACAAGCTCCAGGTAGGCGCCGAGGTGCTTATGGCGAAGCGCTGCACAGTGGTAAATAGATAAGAAGAGCGACAGATATTGGCGCTTAGAGAGAGAGTATGGGTGGCCAGCAACGGCATTAGGCTTAAGCCCTCTAGGTACTGTTGGATTTCCACAGAGACACAGAATAAGTCAGATAACCAGCCAGGGTATTTGATGCAAACAATCAAAGAGAGTGAAAATTGGAGAGCTATGGAGTGGCTTCTAGCGCAACCATCCAGGGTAACTACAATAACGCTCTGCAGCTGAAAATTGGTAAGCAGTGTGAGACGAAGAATCGATAGTGGCACTAGAGGGGAGAGAATCGGTGGCTAACAATGGCAGTTGGATGAAGCCTTCTGGTTAATAGTGGATAAGTACGGTGTCCCAGATTTAGTCAGCAAGTGGATATGACACAGAAGCTCCCAGATAATAAACGTTGGAGCGATAAAAGCGTGGCTTTCAGCGAGCTTCGGTCATGCGCAGACCTGCAGGAAATCTACGCCAACTAGTTGCTGCAAAGCAGAGATGCCAAAGGTGAGATGATGCGCAGACAATGGCGCTAAGAGCGAGAGTATCAGTAGCCAGCAATGGCATTTGGATGAAACCTTCTAGTTACTAGTGGATATATACAGTGTCCTAACATAAGGCAACAAACAGTAAATGTATGTGTCGCAGACAGCCCAATGAATGAAGGTTGGAGGGAAAAGAGTGGCTCTTAGCAAGCTCCGGATATGCGCAGAGAAGCACGGAGTCTACGACCAACAGTTGCTGCTAAACAGAGGTGCCGAGGTTAAGCCGATCGGCAGATAATGATGCTATTACAGTCTATCGGTGGCCAGATGCAATCATTGCATTAAGACGTTTGGTCACTAGTGGATACGTACAGTGTCACAAACACATCAACAAGCCAGCGAAGGTAAGTGCGACAGATATTCTAAAGGATTACAGGCTGGAGAAACAAGGAGTGTCTCCCAGTAGCTCCGGATACGCGCTAAGATGTATGGAGCCTAGAACGGATCGCTGCAACAAGCGGGATGAAGATAAGAGGAACGATAGATAAGGTTGCTAAGAGAGAGAACCAGTGATCGTGCCGGTTGATCATGCCTGGTCTGGTGTGTCTCGGAAATTCGAGAATATACTATTTATTTATTTATTTAGTGGACAGCAAATGCATTCGTATTAAGCCTTCTAGTCATTAGTGGATACATACCGTGACAAACCAGCAAAGGTATGTAATGCGACAAATCCACGGGAATAAAGTTGCAAAGCAGTGGCTCCCAGTGCAAAGATGCATGCTACCTACCATGACTCGCTGCAGCTGAAAGTGGTGCCAGGGTTAAGTCAAAGAGTGGATAATGGTACTAGGGGAGAGCATATCGGTGGCTAGCAATGACGAATGGATTATGCCTTCCAGTTGCTAGTGTATACCTACAGTGTCCCAGAATATGTCAAAAACGGCAAATGTACTTGGGACAGGCTCTCCAATAGGGTAAAGTTTGGAGGGATAAACGAGAGGCACGTAGCAAGCTCCGAATACACACAGAGTTGCTTGGAGCCTAAGAAGCGTAGCTGCTACTAGACAGAGGCGCCAGAAGTAAAACGAAGAGCAGGTACTCTCGCTGGGAGGGAGAGTATCAGTGATCAGCATTCGCATTTGCTTGAAGTCCTATAGTTGCTAGTGTATACCCATCGTGTTCCATACTACTTCAATAAACAGCAAATGTATGCTACGCGGACAGTCACAGATAATAAGGGTTTGAGAAATCGAAGTGTGACTGTTAGCAAGCTCTGGATAATCGCAGAGTCATGGAGCCTACGACCACTAGCTGCTTCTAAGCAGATGTGCCGAATTTAAGACCATCGACAGATGGTGGCGCTAAGAAAAACTATTAGTGACCGGATGTAGCCATTCCAATAAGATGTTTGGTCACTAGTGTATGCCTACAGGGCCACAGAATGTATCAACAAGCCAGCAAAGGTAAGTGATACAGATATTCTAATAGAATATATGCTGGAGAGACAAGGAGTGTATCCTAGCGAGCGCCGGGTATGTGCAGAGATGTATGGAGTCTACGACGAATCATTGCAGAAAGATGAATACGACAAGACGAATGACAAATGCTGACGCTAGCAGGGAGGCTATCGGTGGCGAGCAACGGCATTCAGCTTAAACCTTGTAATTACTAGTGGACACCTACAGTGACAGAATAAGTCAACTAACCAGCGAGGGTATGTGATGCAAACTATCCGAGAATAAAATTTGGAGGGATACGGAGTGACTCTTATCGCAACGACGCATGCCACGTACAATGGCTCGCTGCAGCTGTAACGTGTTGACGGAGGTATACCAAGAACAGATAATATCACTAGAGGAGAGAGAGTATCGGTAGCTTGCAATAACATTTGCATGGAGCCTATTAGTTACTAGTAGATACTTTCCGTGACAGAGTAAATGATGTAAACAGGCCAGGAGAATGAAGTTGGATACCCGCAGTAAACTACCGTTGTAGTTGTCTAGGTCTTTACTAGATGTGACGGAATAGGATGGTGATATTGGTGTTGAAGGCGCAGATATTTGCTCTGATGAGCTGGAGTGTGTCAGTGCTTAGTCGGAAAACGGACGTATATCGGGCGTGAAGGAGAGTTAATTGGTAAGGCCTGAGTCCGCTATGCTGGGGTATTCGGATTAGGGGTTTTTCCGGGCCATGTTCCCAAAACACATCCTCTAGTATATTGGAGTTAAAGAGTTCCCATGTAGCCAAGGTAGCCATGTTTCTATGTAAGGCTGATCGGAACTGTGCAGTATTCTCGGCTGCCCTAACTTGTAATGCTAGCCGGTTCCAGACGCGAGCGTGTCTGCAGAGAGAGAACTTGTTACGCACGATGGTGCAGGCTGTAAGTAGGGTAATGGTTAAGCGTCTATGGGGAAAAGGATACCGAGCGTCAT